ACGGAATTAGAGATTCCGTTGAAGTTTTTCGACGAAAATTATTTTCGTTGAAAATATTCAACGGAATAATTTCTGTCGAAAGTTTCGACGAAAAAATGATTTCGTCGAAATTTTTCGACGAAAAATGAATAAATTTCGTCGAAAAATCTTTTAATATTTTTCGACGAAAAACAAATTCGGTCGAAAATTTTTGACAAAAAATGAGTCTAATTCTGTCGAAAAATCTTACAAGATTTTTTGACGTAAAACAAATTCCGTCGAAAAATCTTGTAATATTTTTCGACGGAAAACAAAAATGAATCAAATTCCGTCGAAAAATTCCGTCAAAATTTTTCGACGAAAAATGAATCAAATTCCATCGTAAAATCTTGTAATATTTTTCGACGAAATTGCTTTTCCGTTGAATTTTCTTTTCTCTACAAAATTAATACCAATTTATGCTTCACACCTGATAAACAAATTAATATAATGAAAGTAACATATCAAACTTATATGATCTTAATATAATTATGTGTACAAAAGTCCTTGTCATATACTAATCGAAAGAGGCTTATATGTATAAATGTCCAAGACATTCTAATCAAAAGAGTGTTATACATGTAAAAATGTCCACGGCATATACTAATCAAAACAGACATAGATATACAAAAGTCCCTGTCATATACAAATCAAAAGAGACTTATATGTATAAATGTCCAAGACACATATATAAACAAAAGTCCTTGTCACACTGTCATATACTAATCAAAAGAGTCCTATATCTATAAATGTCCAAGACATATGGTAATCAAAAGGGACATACATATACAAAAGCCCTGTCATATACAAATCAAAAGAGTCTTATATCTATAAATGTCCAAGACATATACTAATCAAAAGGGACATACATATACAAAAGTCCTTGTCATATACTAATCAAAAGAGTTATATATCTCTAAATATGCAAGACATATGCTAATGAAAAAGGACATACAAATACAAAAGTCTCTGTCATATACAAATCAAAAGAGTCTATGTACAATAGTCCATGTCATATACATCCAACAAAGATACAAAAGTCATGCTGGTGGATGACCTGCATGATCATGGTTATCACCTAGGTCCTGAGACGGGGGCTGAGTCTCGCCGTCATCCTCAGTATCTAAAAATGCCTCAGGAAGCCTTTGCAAAAGCTTCTCCATTTTGTCCATTCGCCTTTGCATCATAACCATGAGACTATCTTGTTGCTCAACCTTTTTCTCTTGTTGTGCAACCTTCTCCTGTTGTTGTGCAGCCCTCTCCTCTTGTTGTGCAACTGTACCCTGCAACTGGATAATCAATGTGCGTATCCTGTCATGCTCCTGCTGGGACACTCCAACTGGTAGCCTTTTGGAGAGTCGAGATTGCTTATATGTTCTAGCATGTGTACCTAAACCGTATACCCGTCCTTTACGGTTAACCCCACCAACTACCTACAAGATTAAATCATTATATGAGGCAACACTGCTAGCATCCTCTCCTAGAGTGACTTGAATGTCTCTCTCTTCCCTCAGTAGGGTGAAGCCATCCTAAAATTTACATAGAAAGTATTGATGTGTAAAAGTTAGGTGCACTAAAACTAATCAGCTTTTGAAAGTAAACATTTGGTGTAAAAATAAATAATACTCACAGCTATTGCCTTTGCCTTGTCATTGCACCACTTGTCACGATCATCTTTAGATGTGTGTGTATGCTTGAACAAAGCCCAATCCATGCTGGACGGATCCGTGACCCCATCTGACTGCTGAGTGATAAGATATTTACATAAAACAACAGGAACATGAATTCTGTCGTGCTAAAAAAGGCTTACCATTTTATGAATCTACATGCATATGCAATTATAAGTATTCTTACCAACCGCCTTGCATGCTCAGTAAATGGAAGAGAACCTCCAGAATGTGAAGGTCCGTCAAATTTGGACCTGTTCCTCTTATTTGCTTCATCCATTTCTTTCATTTTTCATTAGACCAGTGAACCTTCAAACCATCAAGAACATTTTGTCTCATCCAAGACATATCGCCCTTTCCTTATCAAATTCAAGTGATTTCTGATTATGTCAGTGGCTTTGGTCTTGTATGCTTTATCAAAAAGATATTGGTCAGCCGGCAAGCATTTATATTTTTCCTACAAAGATGAAACACGACAATAAGACAAGTTAGTAAAAATATCAACATTAACTTGAAAAACCTTGAATCATACATAAATTGTTCTATGGTTTAGTTCGGAAGGCAACATTACCATCAATATGTTGAACCAATTCTCCTTGACGTTTTCTGGAACTGCCTTATATGTAGGGTTTGAACCGTCATAATTGCGCTTGATTATTGTCCACACTTTGCGCACTACATCACATGGTTCAAAGCTGAAATACATTGTAATGTGATTATACTATGACCAATTATGTCAAAAAATTATTAGCCAACACTGACAAGAATAATTACAGAAAAAATAGCACAACCACCATTAACAATTGTTGTACTTACTTGCTGCCATCGACGGTCGGTCGTACCCATATACGATTGTCCATGGGATCTTTCCCCCCCCACCATGGAACAAGATCCTGCATGACAGGCGGAGGTGGACCATAATATGGAGCCTCTGGTGGGGACAAAGCGTGATCCTGTTTAACAAAAACAAGAGAAAAAGCCAATAAATTTGCTAATACTTATATTTATTCTACATTTCTTTTTAGAATTTACAATGTAGAATATGCTTTGCTTCTTCAGTAGAAGCTACAAACGAATCCGGTGTCTCTTGGACTGTCGATGATGGTGATTGTGCATCTGGTGATGTTGTTTGCAGACGCAAAGAGAATGACGTGTGGTTTTGCCCTCGACGGTTAATGGCCCTCGTCCATATGTACGTACAGAGGAACTATCCCTACCTCTGGCCCTACCCTGTGTAGGGTCAAATGCCTTCATCTGCATAAGAAACATTCATGATTAATATGGGTATTCCAGTACAATGTCCATAAGAATTGATCATAAATATTTATGTATACACATTCTGCATCAAAGAACTTGAATGGCATCCGATGTTACAAAATACGTCATCAAAATGAACAATACATCCAAAGATAAGTATCTGATATATCAAATATTACAACAATGATAACTACATTGACATATCACAAGAAATATGACCACAAACAAATTATGATGATCCTACACAATTGTCTAATGATTGTTTATAATTGGCATTTCAATCTGATTCTTCATTTTGAACTATATCTTCTTCTTCAGTCTCCTCATAATCGTCATGTTCTGCTTCAGATGATGACAAGAATTGTGGTTCCTCAATGTCCGTGTCATCACTATCAATACTTTGAGCGGGGATTGTCTCTAATTCAGCTGTAGTGTCAACAAGGATCTGAAGGATGTCATCATCAGCAATGTGTATAGGAACCTCCACAACATAATCATCTTGGTAAGGATTGTCAATTTGATCGGTTTCTTTTACTCTTGTCACTAGGATAATGTTACGTGCTTTGGTTTTAATTACCCCCAGCCATTCTTGTTCATCCCCGGGATAGGATGTATAATACACCTGCTCGGCCTATTGAGCAAATATGAACGGATCGTATCTATTGTATCCCCAGCCATTTTTTATAAAGGTTTTCGACGGAATTAGTTTTTCGTCGAAAATCTTCGACGAAACATGAATTCCGTCGAAAAATTCATAAACATAATTTCTTTTTTATTTCTTTTTTTGTAATGATTTTCGACGAAATTAGTTTTTCGTCGAAGATTTTCGACGGAATACGAATTAGGTCGAAAAATTCATAAATATAATTTCTTTTTGATTTATTTTTTTGTAATGGTTTTCGACGGAATTAGTTTTTCGTCGAAAATCTTCGACGGAACATGAATTTTGTCGAAAAATTCATAAACATAATTTCTTTTTGATTTATTTTTTGTAATGATTTTCGACGGAATTAGTTTTGCGTCGAAAATCTTCGACGAAATATTAATTCCGTTGAAAAATTCATAAACATAATTTCTTTTTCATTTATTTTTTTGTAATGGTTTTCGACAGAATTAGTTTTCCGTTGAATATCTTCGACGGAATATGAATTCCGTCGAAAAATTCATAAATATAATTTCTTTTTGATTTATTTTTTATATGGGTTTTCGACGGAATTTTTTTCCCGTCGAAAATTTCCTAAATATAATTTCTTTTATCGTTTATTTTTAAAATTCTTCTACGGAAATTTATTTTCCGTCAAAAAATTTTGACGAAAAATTATTTTCGTCGAAAACTTCGACGGAATAAAAACTCTGTCGAAAAATTTGCTTTTTCTAGTAGTTCCTCATCCTCAAAAAAGAAAGAGCTAGTCTTTTATTTTATCTCGTGCTTTGTCTTTTACTTCTTTTCATATAAAAAAAGTCATAATTATTAGAGGATGAAATTAGGAGTGGCAAAAAGGTTATGACAAGCATGTCGACTTGCAACTTAATATATCAAAATATGTGTCGTTTCGGCCCGCGAATTCAAATGAATTGTGTATGGATTCGAGTTGTTGACATGAATTAATCTCGTGTCAAGTCATTAGTTGATGTGCACCGTTAGTTGATGTGCACCGTCCGCATATCAACAACTATTGGGAATATTTTTGATAATTCACATTATAAAATTATATTCATACATGTTGTGCCCATTCGTGAATTTACATTTCAATTTTAGGTTTTTTTGATATTTTTCTATTTTTTTTAAAAATAAATTTTTAATTTTTTCATGTTGTGTTAACAACCTAGGACGTGTCGATTCGAGTTTTTGACCCGTTAACAAAATTATGTTGTATACGAGTTGAGTGGTTTTGTGTTGTAATCGACCGTTTTGCTACCCTAGGTGGGATCTGTCTTCCACATAAGACAAACAAAATAATAATAAAAAAGTGGACAATCATATTTATAAAAATAAAAATAAAAAAATCAATACAAGCCCTTAAATTCTCCTATCTTTTTCGTCTTCAGCCAGTCAAAGAGGCTACAACCCAGAAAATATAAGTTCCTTTCCACCAACCCCCAATTCCATAAGAATCTCTCTCCCGAAAATAAAAAGAACTCGTTTTTCCGACCGTTGATTGATGGGGTACTCATTCGATCCAACGGTCAAAGATTCCCCAACTCAGTTCTTCTTCTTCAGTTACAAAGTTTGAGGTTGTTTCCTTTGCAGGGTTCGAGAAAGAAAGGGAAAGGAACAAAATGAGGATGACAAAGTCTCGGGTGTGGCAGCCATGCAAGAAGAAGAGGTCTTGATAGCTCTAGAGAGAGAAAGTCAAGGAATTTAGAGAGAGAGATTAACAAGAAGAAGAAGATGAAGATGACGTCACGGTCAGGGCATTCTATCAGCGGTGGCAGGACCCGAGTGGGAAAATATGAACTGGGTCGGACCTTGGGTGAGGGAAACTTCGCTAAGGTGAAGTTTGCACGGAACACTGAGACCGGAGAGAACGTCGCCATCAAAATTCTAGACAAAGAAAAAGTTCTCAAGCACAAAATGATAGGCCAGGTGACTTTCTCTTTCTCATTCTATGCCTTATTTTATTCTTCGTATAAAAAAGGTTATACTCGAAACGATACAGTGATTTTTTTAGGGGTTTAGTTTTTCTTGTATAGTAGAAATTATTTTCTCAATTTTATTCTTCACACTCACACCTATAAAACTGAAGTGTGTGGAGCTGATTTTTTTTTTTTTTTCTTAATTTTCTCTTCATATCATTTCATTGTGAGTTCATATATTTTTGGATTTTATAATTTTGAAGTTACATGAAAATTGAAATTTATTTTGTGGAGACAAAGAAATATACGAGACTCCTATGATAAAAAAAATTATACTAAGATCCACGGAAAAGTAGTTGGAAGAAGGTTTTTTATATGATACAATATTCGAATTTATAATCTAAATTTATTTAATTTTTTTTATAGCAACCCTAATTATGTTTTGCGATAAATAGGTTTTCCTAAATATCTTTACAAGTTTCAATTTTTTAAATCAACTATAAAATTAATCTTTAGTTCAAGGCCGATCAAGGATTAATATTTTATCCCTCCAAAAATGACATTGACGAGAATGGAAACAAAATCCTTCTCCACTCACTCAACTCTATCGCACCAACTTATTCAAATTCTATATTATCCATGTTTATTTGTTTTACTCTTTTCTAAGATAATATTATATATTTATGGGTAAAGGATTTTTCCAGTCAATGGAGATAAATTATCTCTAGTGAACACAAAACGACGTCGTTTTGTGACGAAAATCAATGTGTTTTTGTAATTCTAATTTATTGCAAGGTTATATTAGTCTTTTAACATTATAATTTTTTAATCTTACAATCCATAACGACGTTGTTTTGGATTCACCGAAGAAAACTTTATCTCCATTTACCGGAGAAAACTTCATTTCCAGTGATTGAAGAAATATTTTCTCATATTTTGTTTATACTTTTATTTTATTTTATGTGAATTATATTAAAGTCAATTATATTAAAATCTAAACCAAACGAAATATGTTTTTTTTTTGGCTTTTTAATTTTTGGATTTGAAATTGTGGACCGGTGATTTGGATTTATTGGCAGTCGAGAAAGCGTGCACGGGTTTGGTTGCTACTTTTTATTTTATTTTTCCCCATTCCTACCGGAAAAGTCAAATTTGCATTTGTAACAATTGAATATGTAATTACTCTTCTGGGGTGCGCTGTTGTTTTCTTCTAGATGAAAACGAGTGAAGGTCCAATTTACAACAGTGTGTGTGAGAAATCACATTTATCAAACTCTGAAGTGTGTACAGTTTAACGATTTACTTGGAACTTTGGAAGAATAGTGCTCTTTCCTTGCTCTTTATTTTATTACTAATTGTTACTTTCTCTCTTGGTTTTTGCTTCCCTGGAAAATATAAATTATGGAGCTTTCGGTCCATCTGTCTTACTTGGATGTACCTAGTACCTTTTATTGGATTCATTTAACTTTATTTTTCTTGGAAACAAATTTTGTTAAAACTATAGTTTAGGGAAAAATCTACAATGCTATGGATGCTTTGAGTTTTAGTGCATCCCTAGTTCATTTTTATTAAGATATGTAGGCGGATCCTGGGATCCTAAAAATTTGTGTAAAATCTATCTACGTATCTTAGTAAAAATGAATTAGGGATGCACTGAACTTCAGTGCATTAGTTGCACTGTAGTTTTGTTCATAGTTTAGGGAGGATAATATATGCTTTATACAAACAAACAAAAAGAAACAATGAGTATTGGAAAATAATAACTAATTCGAACCCAATTTTATTATAGGTTTATGGGTAAAGAGACACCTCTAGAGAAGCCAATTTATAAATTGGTTGAAGTACAGTATAGCTTAGCCAATACTGTGCTTCCACCAAATACACCAAGGGTTATATAAACTACGTTCCATGTTATAAAATGTGAGGAGCTTAAGAAATCACCAACATAGAAAACTACTACAAAGTAAAGTAGCTGACATACAATGCAAAAATAAATGGTGTATTTTTTCTGAGCTAATTCTGCTCATAACACACATGACAATGGAAAAAGTGCGAGACCTATGAATTTGCAATGAATCAGTTGTAATTAATCCCTCATTGTCCGGTCAAACCTTTGATGGTTAGTACTTAGTAGAGTGAATTAGAAACTGAAAAAAAGAATTTCCAATGTTCAAACTCTCCTACCTGATTTGACATAGATATATTAAAGAATCAACCAAAGCCAAAAGGGAATGAAATTCATTAGTTTCTCTATCACTCAAATTTCTACAGAAGTAAAAATCCCAAGTTAAAAACTGACCAAGAATGGAGTGAAAATTTTGATGGGTAAGCTATGCAAGGTCTCTGATTGCAGAGACAAGGATAAGCCTCTATGAAAGGAACATTCCCCACCCAAATGTGCCCCCCAAAACTTGATACCGAGTGACATCACTTGTTCACTTAGCCCAAAAGAACCATTGGTCTAAAGGTAATATATCCCTGAGAAAATAAATAAACTTATAGGGACTAGCATGATTAGATTGTTTTATTCACTTTTTATGACATTATTCTGGCCAAGAAAAAGTTAGCCTCTTTGGAGCATGACTATTATATTTATATACTCTTACCTGATGCTTTTTGTTGTTCACCATTATGCAGATAAAACGTGAAATATCAACAATGAAACTGATTAGACACCCGAATGTCATACGTATGCATGAGGTTAGAAAGAATGATTACTTCCATTTATTTTTTCCATTGCATGATTTATTTCTTTGTCTTCAAATTCCCCTTAGTTTTATGTTGTAAGGCTATTATAACTACCCTCTCCATTGTAACTTGTAAGTGACTTCAGCTGTATTCCTGGTGTAGGTGATGGCTAGCAAGACAAAGATATACATTGTATTGGAACTTGTGACTGGTGGGGAACTGTTTGATAAAATTGTAAGACAGTTTTACCTTTCTGTTTGATTCCTAACTCCCACTATTGTTATCGGATTCCTCTATATTAATATTGCCTTTCTATAACCCTACCTTTTTTGGTTTTTTACTTGCTATTTTCTTGAGCCAGGCAAGCCGCGGAAGACTGAAAGAAGATGAAGCAAAAAAATATTTTCAGCAGCTTATATGTGCTGTGGATTACTGTCACAGTAGAGGCGTTTGCCATAGAGACCTAAAGGTGTATCTCTTACCTCATTAATGTAGTTCCATTGTTTCCCTTTTTTTAGAGGGTAATTTTGAAAAGAGCTTATATTTTTCAAGAGGGAATGTACTTACCCAGCCAAATTTGTGCATAACACACACACACACAGAGAGAGAGAGAGAGAGAGAAGCAAGGGAAATAAACAAAAGGGGAACAAGTTAACATGTTACTGTGCTTTATCTATTACAGCCGGAGAATTTGTTGCTGGATGCTGATGGAGTGCTTAAAGTATCAGATTTTGGATTGAGTGCACTACCTCAACAAGTTCGAGTATGGTGACTAATTTTTCAAAAAATAAAAGAACATTTTTGTTTAATTGGTAATTGATTATCCTATCTTTATTAGGAAGATGGACTGCTTCACACAACATGTGGTACACCAAATTATGTTGCCCCAGAGGTATATTAGCCAATACTGCTATTAACCATATCTTTTTTCTGATAAACTTCTTCTTCTTCTTCTTTGTTTCATCACTGCTTCCCTTATCATCTAGGTGATCCATAACAAAGGCTATGATGGTGCAAAGGCTGATCTCTGGTCATGTGGTGTTATTCTTTTTGTTTTAATGGCTGGCTATTTGCCCTTCGAAGAGAGCAACCTTATGGCTTTGTATAAAAAGGTGATTCTCTCTAAATGTTTTTTATGCTACTGTTGGTGAGCAAAACACGTTTATATTCGGGACACTAATGATAAAAGGAATTTTTTGGGATGCTTGTATTTTCATAATTCTATATGCTTTCTTTAAGAAGCTGCTGTTCAAGAATTAGGTAATAAGCATACTGTATAGTGTATCATGAAATTTTATTGACTTTTGTGAGAAGTGTTAGTTTAACTTACTGTAACTTACAGATTTTCAAGGCTGAGTTCACTTGTCCTCAATGGTTTTCTACAAGTGCGAAGAAACTAATGAAGAGAATCCTTGATCCCAATCCTGCTACAGTATGCTCTTGACTTGTACTACTTTTGTTTAATCTATTTTAACTCTCTTACCAATCTGTTTTTTTTAACAAATATTCTTTTTTTTCCTTTCATCTCACCAAACATGTTAGTATCACCTTCTTTGATGGAATGAAACAGCGGATTACAATTGCTGAGGTCATTGAGAATGCATGGTTCAAGAAGGGGTATGAGCCTCCTAGATTTTCGCAGGCAAATGTTAGTCTCGATGATGTGAATGCTATTTTCAATGAAGCTACCGTAAGACTCTTTGATTTAGCTTCTATGTTGATTAACTTTTGTTCTGATTCTATCCTTGATCTCAGTTTTATATTTTGGTGCACAGGATTCACAAAATCTTATTGTGGAGAGGCGAGAAGAGGGGCCAGTGGCACCTATGACTATGAATGCGTTTGAGCTTATCTGTACATCTCAGGGCCTCAACCTTGGAAATCTTTTTGAGAAGAAGATGGTATGTTTGTCTTTATCAGAAAAAAGAATGGTATTCTTGTGTTTTAGTAGAGCCTGGCATCCTAAAAATTTGATATGGAATGGATTGTAGGGAATGAAAAAACTAAATTTAAATCTGTTATGAACACTTGTCAAATTAAGTATACATTTTCCTGTTGATATTCCTTGTAAATAAGTGGTGATATCTTATGTAAATAGAATAGGAAACTGATTATGTGCTCGCTGTATTTAGTTTAGTCAATCCCTAAAACTAAAAGATTTAATTGTGTGTATTGTAATTATAAATTCACGAGGCTTAGTGAGGATTTCTCTAAAGTTATTCACATAAAAAAAGAAGAAGCTCCATTTCAAGTTTCCCTTTTCACACTATTATGATAGATTGTTGATTAGTAATTAAAAGCTGCATGATTTAAGAATACATAATCTCTCCAAAGTTGATGTAACTGAATTTGTTCTTAAATATTGTGGCTAAGATCAGTTGACTTTTTGACATCTAGGGACTTGTTAAAAGGGAAACAAGATTCACATCCAAATGTTCAGCGAATGAGATAATTTCAAAAATTGAGCAGGCTGCAGTGCCTTTGGGTTTTGATGTTAAGAAGAACAACTGCAAGGTAAAAAAATTTGCTTATTCTTGTCTCCAAGTTACTTCATATTTTGTTTCTATTTTTAACAATACATTTCCATCTTTCAATGTTCTGGTTTACTTTTTCTTTGCCTTCCATGCCCTTCTATGAATCCAATTGTACACAAGCATTAAAAATAACTGTTACTAGGGCACCTTCTAACAGTAATTCCTTGATGTCAAGTTTCCACTTCTGATGATATTTCTTATTATGCATCTCAGTTGAAGATTCAAGGGGAAAAGACTGGGCGTAAAGGTCATCTATTAGTAGCCACTGAGGTACATGTTTTTCAAAGCTTGCTTTGTTGATATGGGGTTTTCATGTTAAGTTAATTGCTCTTGCTAGGGAGGGGTGTTTCTACTTTCTAGTGCTTTTTTAAAATTTTGCTTTTCAGATCTTTGAGGTGGCCCCTTTCCTTAACATGGTTGAACTCCGAAAATCTGGAGGAGATACTCTGGAATTTCACAAGGTAAGTTCTAAAAACCTTGTATAAACTTAGTATTGAATCCTACTTAGTATAAACTTCACTTAGCTTCAATGGGCTGAACCAAACATGTATTTTTCATACAAAAATAATTTTCCTTGTTTATTAGCTTGAATTAGAACTCGGTTATGTATATTTACAGTTCTACAAGAATCTATCTACTGGGCTGAAAGATATCATTTGGAAAGCAGAGCCTATCGACGAAGAAACAGATGGTTAGTTTTGTAGAAATCATGGTACTTATAAGGGCCCGTTTGGATGGGCTTTTTTTTCTTCAAAAGCTGTTTTTTTCTTAAAAAAAAGCACTTTTCAGTTTTAGTTCATTTGGATGTCTGCTTTAAAAAAAGCAGAAGTCACAAAAAAAGTCAAAAACTTACTTTTTCTAGAAGCTAAAAAAAGCAGAAGTCACAAGCCAAATATTTTTTTTCAAAAACTAAATATTTTTATAAAAATATAAAGAGCTTTAACTTTTGTAAAAAGGACTTCTAAAATAAGGAAGAGATAAAAGTTACTTTTTTTAAAAGTGGAAACAAAGAGGCTCTTAAAGTGGTGCACAGAATGAGTAAATAGAAATTTAACATATTGGTCTTGGTGGTGGTATGTTGCATTGAACCTAAGGTTTTTTTGTTCAATGGTTTTTAATTACACTTTGGTAATAATTTTGAGATTTCATAAAATGTCATTCATAGGCTTCAAATGATTGGAGGGGTTTGACACTGCTGACCTGTGTTTTATTTTCTCTAGCTACTATGGTTTTTGGTAATGCCATTACATGGGTAATATAAATTCGATTTCGTACTAGAGCTGCTTCAAAATTTTCATTTGGTATCTGAGCAATTTATTTATTTATTGTTATATTTCATGTTTGTTTAAATTATAGTTTAAAGACTTAATATTTTATTGTGTATTTAAATTATAATTTAGCATGATATAAATATATAACATGTTATAAATTAAAACTCTTTAAATTATGAACATTTTATTTTCAGATTATATAGACAGACTGTTCAATGGAGAGAGACATAAAGAGATAAAACAATGAACTTAGAAAAGAGATAAATGAAACGTTGGTGAATATAGAATATACTAACTAATACTATGCATTTTTTTTCTTGACATTTAGATACAATTAATACCTGATTAATTTTTATAAAAAAAACTATATGCAATTAAATAAATAAATATGAAAAAGTAGATAAACAGGGAATTCAATTAATTAAGTAAATAAAGTTATGTTCTATTAAAAAATAAATAATAAATAATCAAATTTTATTTTGTAATTAATAAGGAGAAAGGAATAAGATAGTGAATAAAAATTATTAAATATAAAAAAAATAATAAAGTAGAAAAAAAGAACATGCGGTGCCATTAAAGACAGTTTTTAGGTGCTCAATATCTTACTGAATCTGCATCTCTGCTTGGAGTGTAGAAAGTGGAAATACGACTCTGAAATCTGCATCTCTTTTTTTTCTGTGTCTTTTTTATACTTGTATATTCAGCAATTTTTTTTTTAAATTATTTATTTGGACTTCTAACATGTAGTGTCTCTTCCAATTTCTATGTACAGGTGCAAGTACATCAACATAATTTGTTTCTCACATCTCTCTTCGTGCATACACATGTTGTGTTCTTGACTGAGTGGGGGCAGTTGCTTGAAGGATTCTATCATTTATCCAACTTGATAGATATACTGGGGGCGTTTGGTAGAGGAAAAAAAATTTAGTGTCTGGGAATCATGATTTTAAGAAATATGATGAGAAAATAGATTACTTAGAAATATTGCAAAAAAGTTGTTTGATATGACAAAATTTTATCAGGATTATTTGGTTAAATTTACTGTGTTTGGTTTATGGTTTAATATTGATGGGAATGTTGGCCAAATTACAAAATAACCCTTCCTTCATCTCTCTCTCTGATATTTCCAGCATCGTATGAACCATACAAAGGAAAAGCAAGTTTTAGAGCAAATCTTTCTGTTGTTGTTTCATCAACATTTTCGTTGCATCTGCAAGCGGTGGGTTGGGTGAACAAGGCAAATAACGTACAAAATAACCATTAACCCAAAAAGAGTGAAAAATAAATGAACTTCTGCAAATATGGTTCCAAATCACACATAAATCACAAAATACAAACCATGGACACAACTCAAGAAAACTCACAGAGATCTAAGGAGGTGAGTATGTCGAAGGAGGTGAGTAGACAAGTTGTCAAAATGAAAGAGCAGACATGTTCAAAAATTCTAGACTACAATTCCTTGTTTCCGGTAATTCACAAATATCACAATTTCGGAGGTAATTTCAGAACGGAAACTGATCACAATTTCTTCACAACTTTATTTCCTAGGTAAATTGGATACCAAGGCAAATAATGACAAATCTCCTACCAAACATAGGTAAAGGCAATACCCACATCACTTTTCCTGACATTTTCACAAATATACCTCTACCAAACAGGCCCATAAGGTTGCCTTTATGTGACACTGTATATGTGAATTCGTTGGGATCATTACATCTGTCATGGCATATTTGATAGACATAAATTAAAAAGAAATTTTCTTATATTCATTTTTGCTCTATGTGGAGTTTGAATGCAAATTTTTTTTATTTTATTTTTTATCTGCCTACTGTTACTAATGTATTTGATGGGTGCACGTGCACCTATACAAGTTATTATTATATTTGGTTTTTGATAAAGTATCATATATAATTTTACTCTATTATTCACTCGTGCCTTTTTATACCATTAAAAAAAGTATGATTTCTGAAATAATTACTTTGAGAATTAATTTTTTTAATGATATGATAATATATAATTGAATAATAATGTAAAAAATTTAAATGGATGGTATGTTAGAATGATATCTTTATATTGATATTTGAATGGTTTATATTATGTCTAATCTTAGGTCTCCTTAAGTATAAGTGGATTTTGAAATATATACATGAATTGTACGCAGCGCATCACGTATTGAGCTAGAAGTTTAAACAAACCATATACAGAGATGCTTTTTATTTTCTTTTCTTTTTATGGGTTAAATACTTCTCACTAATTTCTTTTTCTACGTACACACAGCAAATATGTGATATGTGAGTTTTACTGAAATTTTTTTCTCTCTTTTTAATAGAATTCATATAATTATTGTGTATGTAAGAGATGTTGGGCTTCCTCCTTCAATGCTAAGCCCAAGCCCATTTGAGGGGTTTCCTAAAAAACCCTAACCCTAATTTCCACCTCCTCTATATATACTCATTAGTTGTGGGTGGAGGCTAGGTTAGATTTGAGAGAACAAATTTGAGAGAAAAATTATTTGATTGTTTGAGTAAAGCTTTATGCTTTGCATTTAAGAGATCTCTAGAGAGAGTTTGAGTGAAACATCTCTAGGGTAGTTTGATTATCACCATTGTTGGAGAGGTTGAGTTAACCACCACATTGGTGTATTCTGATTATTTGTAACCATTATTTTCATAGTGGATTTTTGATCTGGACTAGGTACCCTGGGTTTTTACTTCTTCATTGGAGAAGGTTTTCTCACGTTAAATCTGGTTGTGTTCTTCTTCTCTCTCCTGTGTTTACGTTTTGATTTTTTCGCTGCGCTTCCTGACCTGGTGAAGTTCAGGCCGAGGTATTGTCGAGATCCGAGATCAGGATCTTGTTGATTAACTTCCGCACAAAGGCCCCTGAGCCGATCTGAGGGAACCTAGTTCCCAACAGTGGTATCAGAGCCCGAGTTCGACGGGTTCTGAGGGAGACGAGATGGAGACCAGTGGCATAACTCATGGTGGAGATATGTTCAAGTTGACCGCAGACAATTTCACATATTGGAGACCGATGATGGAAGATCATCTCTACTGCAAAGATTTGCATGAGCCCATTATCCTTGATGAGAGACCAGCAGGCAAGACAGATAAGGAGTGGGAGATCTTGAGTCGGAAGGCGGTAGCCACGATCAGGAAATATATTGATAAAAGCCTCTTTGAGCACGTGTCCGAATTCACGAACGCGTATGAGTTGTGGACGAAATTAGAGTCCATGATTCAGAAGAAGACTCCCAGGAACAAAGCACTCCTGGTTCGCCGACTTGTTAAGCTTGAATACAAGGACGGCATGAGCATGATTGAACACCTGAACACCTACAAAGGTATTGTGAATCAGCTGTCAAAGGCTGATATGAAAATTGCTGAAGAACTGCAGGCATTGCTGCTGTTGAGCTCGCTTCCAGAAAGCTGGGATACTCTGGTGGTGACCCTGAATAACTCGACTCTAGATGGAAAATTGAAAATGGATGTCGTGACAGACAGCATCCTGGGCGAAGAATCCAGGAGAAGAGAACGAGGTACTTCGAGTACGTCTGAGGCCAACGTTGCTGAGAACAAAGGGAAATCTGACTCCCGGGGTAGAAGTAAAAGCCGCGGTCGAGATCGAGATAGAAGAGGAAAGTCCAGAGGTCGGTCAAAGCCAAAATATGAGTTGAAGTGCTTTTACTGTGGAAAGACAGGCAATAAGAAGCCAGACTGTTGGACCCTGCAGAATGATGAGAAGAACGGCTCTGTGAAGCCGGATCAGATTGTTCCCAAGAAAAGGGAAGACAAGAGCACCACTGCGGTGGCTGCAAACCCTGATGCCGATATACTCCTCCTAGGTGAGGATAATTATTTGAATGTTGCATATGATGACTGCACCTGGATTGTTGACTCTGGTGCCTCCTTCCACGTTACTCCACAAAAAGGTTTTTTCTCCTCTTATCGAGGTGGTGATTTTGGAGTCGTGAAGATAGGAAATACAGTGACCAGCAAGATTGTTGGTGTCGGTGATGTAACTCTGACCACGGATGTCGGGTGCCGACTTGTGTTGAAGGATGTGAGGCATGTTCCTGACATGCGTTTGAACCTAATCTCGGTAGGCAAACTTGATGATGCCGGGTTAGTGAACTACTTCGGTAGTGTTAGATGGAAGCTGGCCAAGGGAAACTTGGTCGTGGCCCGAGGTAAGAAGGAAGGATCCTTGTACGTGATGCAAGGAAAGATCAATAGCGGAGAAGCCAATTCAGTTCGAGATGAACCTAACTTGGAGCTATGGCACAAGCGCCTCGGCCACATGAGCGAGAAAGGGCTACAGATCCTGAACAAGAAAGGATTACTGACCGGGTTGAAAGGCCAAGCGTTGGAGAGTTGCACGCACTGCCTAGCTGGAAAGCAGCACCGGGTTTCTTTTGTGAGATCGGATCAACCTAGACGACGCAGGTATATTCTTGACCTTGTCCATACTGATGTCTGCTCCATGTCGGAAAGATCCCTTGGAAGAGCTCAGTACTTTGTTTCATTTATTGATGACCATTCCCGCAAAATGTGGGTATATTTGTTGAAGTCTAAAGACCAGGTACTCCAATCCTTTAAAGAATTCCATGCTATGGTTGAAAGGGAGACTGGCAAGAAATTGAAGGTGGTTCGATCTGATAATGGTGGTGAGTATTGCGGCCCATTTGATGCATACTGCAGAGCGGCCGGGATTCGACTTGAGAAGACGCCCCTCAAGACACCTCAGCTGAATGGACTGGCTGAGAGGATGAACAGAACAATTGAAGAGAAGGTACGAAGCATGATATCCAATGCCGGGTTACTGAAATCATTCTGGGGAGAAGCCGACAAAACAGCTGTTGATTTGATCAACCTCTCACCATCACGGCCGCTTAAAGGAGAAATTCCAGAAGAAGTCTGGACAGGTCGGAAAGCGGCCTACAATCAACTGAAAGTGTTTGGATGCCGAGCTTTCGTGCATATCCCTAAAGATGAAAGGGCTAAACTTGATGCAAAGACTAAAGAATGCATTTATCTTGTTTCGCCGAGATGTGAGTTCGGGTTCCGACTTTGGGATCCAATCAATAAGAAGATCGTGAGAAGCCGAGATGTGATCTTTCATGAGCATGAGAACATTCATGACATCTCGAAGCCCAAAGTCCGAGTTACTGTCAGACATGAAGAACCCATCCCTCCTGTCCGAGCTGAAGCAGGGGAGAAAATCAAGAAAATGATGATTTGCAACAAGCTGAAGATGACCAAGACACTGAGGTCCGAGTTGATGATGAGATCCGGGATGAAAATGATGAACCGGGTTCTCAAGCTGAAGAATAGCCGAGATATCCAACTCGAGAAAGAAGACCCTCTACAAAGTACCCATCTTATGAATACACCGTTGTTGCTGAAGACGGTGAGCCTCAGTGTTATGATGAGGCTGTAACGAGCTCAGAGAAAGAAGAATGGAAAAAGGCAATGCAGGACGAGATGAAGTCTCTGCACGAGAATCAGACTTATGAGCTGACCGAGTTGCCTAAAGGAAGACGAGCTTTGAAAAATAAATGGGTCTACAAGATTAAGAATGAAGAGAACGGGCAAAAGCCAAGATACAAAGCCCGGATTGTAGTGAAAGGCTGCAATCAGAAAAAGGGTGTAGACTTTGAGGAGATTTTTTTCTCCTGTGGTGAAAATGACCTCGGTCCGAACCGTGTTAGCCATGGCGGCTTCAATGGACCTCGAGGTAGAACAAATGGGCGTGAAGACGACATTTCTTCACGGTGACTTAGAAGAAGAAATATATATGGAGCAACCTGAAGGGTTTCGAGCTCAAGACCAAGAAGACTTGGTATGTCGGCTGAAGAAGAGCCTCTATGGCTTGAAGCAAGCACCTCGGCAGTGGTACAAAAAGTTTGAATAATTCATGACTGATCATAAGTTTGAGAAGACAGATGCCGACCACTGCGTATTTGTGAAGAGGTATGAGGCCGGAGATTTTTTGATTTTGTTGTTATATGTTGACGACATGCTTATTGTAGGGAAAGATAAATCGAGGATAGCCGCCCTGAAAAAGGCGTTGAGCTC